TGTCATGCATCCACAGATGCATCTCAAGCACGTCCAAGGAGGTGATCCTCCCCCTCTATGTGGCACTGGTCAGGCCGCAGCTGGAGTACTGAGTCCAGTTCTGGGCACCGCACTTCAAGAGGGATGTGGACAACATGGAGAGGGTCCAGAGGACGGCCACTTGCATGATCAGGGCAGGCCCCACGAGAAGAGGCTACAGGACCTGAACCTGTTCAGCCTCCACAAGAGAAGGAGGAGGGGAATCTAGTGGCCTGTTACAAACTAGTCAGGGGGGATCAGCAGGCACTGGGGAAGTCCCTGTTCCCCCGAGCACTGCCAGGAGTGACCAGGAATAACGTTCACAAGCTGGCAGAGGGTAGATTTAGGCTAGATACCAGGAGGTGCTACTTCACGATCAGGGTGGCTAGGCTCTGGAACCAACTTCCAAGAGAAGTGGTGCTGGCTCCTACCTTGGGGGTCTTTAAAGAGGAGGTTAGATGTACACCTTGCTGGGGTTGTTGACCCCAGTACTCTTTCCTGCCATGGCAGGGGGTCGGACTAGATGATCTACTCGGGTCCCTTCAACCCTAGAAGGTATGAAACATTAGTAGGTAGGGATACCCATATAAAAAACTATTAACAAAACAATAACACTAACTAGTGCATACTATTTGGCAGGTTTTTTAAAATTAGTCATACTCAATCCATGCTAACAATTTAACAGAATGTATTGCTATTTTCATAACATCTACAGAATTGTATTTCAGTTGAATAAAAAATGCACGTCATAACAAGGAACCAACAGAGAGGAATATTTATGAAGAAGTTCAAAGGTTTTAGCTGCTTGTTAGAGATCCACCAGAAATCAACAAGAAAGCTCAAGTAGTAAGCAATGTATTCTATAAAGTGATAAGAGCACCATTCAAGAACTGCATCTTAAATATCTCATTTTAAGAAAAATGAGCAAATTGAGGCCCATTATTGTCAACAATCAACTAGTCTTTTTTGAAACACGGATATTAATTTTCTTCCTTTCTAAGTAATTATATTTTTAAGCCACATATATACCCCAAATGCTTCCTTCCTACCTTTTGGTGGCTGCAGGAGTCTGGAATTCTCAAATAAATATTTCTTTTTGATGGGTAAGATGACTGTGTCCTTCAGATCTGTAATAACATCATCTAATCCTGCAATATCACTCCAGGTTACCTAATAAATAAAAACAGTATTAGAAGCAAAACTTTAAAGCTTACCACAGTCAGTGCCAACAAAAAAATACTCAAATTAGTAAAACTTTTAAAGGAAACTTAAAATGTGGTCATGATAAAATGCTGAACTTATGTCAATTTAATTATTTTTAAGCATAATTTAACAAGGCAGTGTTAATATAGGTGACTTTCTCTGATACAGTCCAAATAATTTTAAGGTAAAGAGTTAATACCCCACTAGGATACATTCTGACATTACTTATGAACTCTAAAAATTTCAAGTTGCATTTTCATGAAAATATAAATCCTCATTGAAGAACAGGGTCATTAAAGTCAAAAACTATCAAAATCGTCCATGCATTACAAATGTTTCACTTCATTCTATGCATGTAAAAAGAACTATTTTATTATAGGAATAATAAGGGAAATAAGCAGAGAATATAGTATCTTACATGCATGCTAAGTGGGTCAACTAGATGTGCAGCAATACTCATTTCATATTCAGTAAGTTTGACATTTTTCACCCCGATTTGCTTCATTAGCTTTTCTGCCTAGAAAGAGAAAACAGTGGTATAAACAGAAGAAAAAGGAAAACAGGTAAACACCTTAAAATCACGGTTTGAAACTCGCCATTTTGGGGTCTGGAAATTAGGAGACAAAAAGAGCCACTTTCATTAAGCCATGTCTTTGAAAATGGCTCATGTGAAAAAGCTTTACTATTTAATGACTCTTCAGTGACACCCAAAGTTAATTCCTAGTCTCAATTCCCAGCAGACAAATGTTACATTGAAAAACAACATGCTATAACATAAATTGAGTGAGATGCCAAAGATTGACAACAGATGAAGAGAGAGAAAACCCTGTCTCAGCTCAGAAAAGGACTGAGGCACACTAGTAGGTGATACAGATGTGCCTGTTGCTTGCCACTAAAGCCCTGGCAGACATTACACTTAAGATGTGATTAACTTGTTAATCGCACCATAAAATAGTGACCCAACTACGTGATCAGGTGATTGGTGAAGTATAATATTTTTGTAGCTGGTTTCCAACAAGCCTTTAGTTGAGTATGTGGGGCAGGGTAGTCACACCATGCAGTCTTATGCCAGCTGCATGATGGGGCTTGGTTGACAGCTCTCCACCTATCAGCAGGCTGACAGCTGCGTGATGCAATCCTCCATGGGGCTGTACCCACTATTTTCAGAGTGTGAAGTAGAGGAGAGCTCATCTACTATTTACCATAGTAAATAAAATACAGAGAAGCAAAAAGATTAATTAATTATCCTAAAAAGGCTCATTCTGCACTTGAAAAGCATAAAACAAAATCTCAACCAACATTAGCACCAATGTTGAGAAAGCTCCAAAAACTTCTAGTATTTTAAGTTTGCTGAGAACCTGCTTTATTAGTATATGAATAAAAATGTTGGGAGCTGCCAGAGCCTCGACTACCTGAGGACTCCTCCTGGTGCTACAACTTGCTTTGCTGACCAATAGGAACTTTCCTTATAAAAGGTGCGTGTCTATTCTTGATAAATTTCTAGAAATATTTATAAAGTTTTAGGCACAAAAACTGAAAAGTTCACACTTCTCTCCGCTCCAATGAATGACATCTTCATACAGTTAGTGATACCAGGCTATTAAATGGATATCAAGACAACAGACAAAAAGATCAAAAGGCAGCTCAAAAAGTTAACTCTGATGTTACTGTTAGACTGCAAAAAATGGTTAAGAGGTGCAATAATCATCTACACCTATACAATGCTAAAATAGCACACAATTTTGTTAAATTTCACAAGTTGAACAGGATAGTTTTGGCCTGCTCAAAACCTAGAATATTGCAGGAAGTAGTGTCTGATACAACAGAAGGCATTTCTCTTTCCAAATCAACATAACCACTGCCCTAGCACAGGACTTGAAGAAGTCTGACTTTGGAATGATGTTTGGTTAAACAAAGGCCTAGAGGTTCAGATTATAATCAAAGAACCCACAAAAGGTGTTAGCCACATATCTGGGTCAAACCAATTAGGATATATATACTCAACCTACATTTATTCCATTTGCACCAAAAGGTATTGTTATATATACCTAATACATGTTCTTGTTCATTTTTAACCATTTTTATGCTGTGTACTAATCAAGAGGCTAAACTTCCTTGCTTGAGACCAGAAAAATATCAGATGGGGCAAGAAACCAGACAGTGCAAGTAAGTAAGAAGTCCCCATGCATAAATATACAAGTCCTGAAAAGGAGAAAGATAACTGGCCCATAATTAGGTGCTGCCCACAGAGGCAACTTGCAGATGCTATCTTTTTTCATGCCTCTTAACAAGCAGCATAGGTAGAGCTCCAACAACAGTAGCAAGAGGAAGGGAGGAGCCTGCTGTCTCTCTGTCCCTTCCCAACAAAGCTGAGTGCTGTAGTGAGGGGATAGCCTTCAGTTCTCTTTTCTTGGTTTTTCCTTTCCCCCAGAGCTGCACAAGCAGCAGGGAATTTTATGCTGCAGCTGCAAGGCTGATGAGTTATTTCTCACCGACGCTTAGCAAAGCTGCTCATAGCAAAAAAGACACAGGCTCACTGCTCGACTCTGGAAATAATGCTACACTCTTTTCCATTAAGAAGGCTGTTTTCACAACCACATAAGCTAGAAGTTTTGTTTTACATTAAAAATAAAAACGGCTGATAGTGAAATGTTTGTCTTGCTTTCTACAGACTCGATTTTTTCAAAGTCCCGGCTTCAGTGACTGGTGAAAACATTTCTATACACATAAATGATTATTTGTAAGAGCTCATATTTCCAGAAGAAGAAATACTTAAAGTTGGACCGTACCTGTTTCTGGGCTTCTACTTTTTGCTTCCTGGTTGGATCAATTGCATCTACCATCCACTTGATGGTAAAATACGTCACAGCACCAAATATCGTCAAACGGAAAATTAAACCAACAACTTCATTCCGACTCAGTGGGCGAGAAAAGGTTTCAGCATGTACCATCTTGAATACTAATTTTAAAAAAAGTCAATGGGGGAGAGCTATTAAAATCTGAGAAAACATGCTCATTTCAAAACATCATTTAGAAATATCTGCTCTCTGTGCAATATTTTTTCTGATTTTTACACCTTTCTGAGTATGTCATAATTTCTTTACCGTAAATGGCACAAGCCCAGAAAACTCAAAAGAAAAGGGTTAACAACTTAATGCTTGATATATTCAACATCTGTGGTTTCATTTCCACCTCTAAGACAGAATACAAAAAGGCAACCACAATCTTTTGTAGCTTTGCTTCAGTGCTTTTAGTTCCTATATTCAAGAAGACGCTGATGCATATCAGCTACACAATACTTTACCAAAGGGATATACTTCTTCACTTGTGAATTTACCCCATTCCCATTCAGGCCTGTTCCAATCATATGATTTACTGATCTCAAAAAAGCTGACTCATGAAGACAAAGTAAAAAAAACAAAAACAGAGGCTATTTCATGTCACTTCCTGTTATTTTGCATGTTTCTTATTATGGACCATTGTCCAATTGAGACGTGTTCCATATTTAGCGGTAGAAAGTTCAGTGTTAGTCTCCATCTAAAACAGTCCATCAACATAGTCCTTTTGAGCTGTTACAGTCCCTGGAAGGCTAAGAATTCTGGCTTTGTGGCAGACAGCCATCAAATGACTGGGGTTGGCTTCCATCAAAGCCAAGATAGGAATTAAAGTTAAAATTAAGACAGTACAAGCTTCTGTTAGCTTTAAATTAAGTCAACACCTTACAAGACTAAATCTTTAAAGGTGCCACCCTGCCCTGCCTTCCACTGATATGAAGTTACAGTCTGCATTTAGTAAGTGGGGGGGGGGAACAAAACACATTGGGATCTTCTTTCCCATCCCCAATCTACATACTGTGGAACTGGCAGGGACTCAAATTAAGAATCACAAGCAGTCTCACTCATCTTCTGATTGCCTGATTTTGTGTGTGAAGGAGTAAAATAAATTGTTTAGCAGCAGGAACTGCTTCTCCTCCAGGGCTGCCCTCCAAACAGCTGTCAGCCAGAAAAAGGTGGATAGCTTATAGATGGTGTGCCATGCTTGTGTACTGCCATGTCTACACTCATGTCAGACAACAGGGATGTTATTCTGAAGATCTTGTATGCCAAACAGAATGACTGAGCAGATGGGAATCAAGAACTGGAAGGTAGCAAATGTGGTCCCCATCTTCAAGAAGGGCAAGAGGGAGGACCCGGGTAACTATAGGCCCGTCAGTCTTACCTCAATCCTGGGGAAACTCTTTGAGAAGATCATCAAGGAGCACATTTGTGATGGGCCGGCATCAGAAATGATGCTCAGGGGCAATCAGCATGGATTTATTAGGGGGAGATCATGTCAGACCAACCTGATTGCCTT